GGTTGCCTGAGCTCTAGGAGCTTTAGGTTTTATCACGGGATATTCTGTGCTGTCAATAATAATCCAAGTTGTAGGAAACTTTAATTTGAAGTTGGATGGCGAAAAATACCTGACTTAACCACTAAATGGCCAAGTGTTAGCCTCACGCCACTGTTTAAAAATAAATACAATCCATGTTTACACAACATTCTTAACACTAGTTTCAATCTAGAATCTGAACAGTTCAAAGTTGGTTGTATAATGCCTCAATTTCATCAAAGTCATAAAAAAACTGATTTTCAAATGACACCCTATCAATTTGAAAATATATGTATCTCAAACAATGTGCTGCTGGACCAAGTGTGGTCACAACAAATAAAAATTTAGTATACAACTCTAAACCGGTATTAAAATGCATGGCTGTGTCACGTGTCTTCATTTCAAAATTCTCTGCTGAAAATAAAGGCATTGATGGTGTTTGCGTAATTCCATCTGTGAAGCTCAACATAAGCTCGGCAGTTGGTGGTGGACAGTCATAAATCCTGTCTGCAGTATGAATGACTTCTTCAGGAAAACCAACTTTACAATCAAAACTTTCCTCTAGATTTCTACTACAATATTCATCAAGTTTAGTTTTAACCTTGATTTGATATTTTGTCATACATAATATATATTTATCTATCTGATGTAATATCATGTTAATGTGGGGGAAGACATCATTATACTTTGTATTGATTTTCCTGATTTAATAAAACTTGAAACTTAGTTCTTTTGTTTTCACAGGAAACTGCCCTGATTTTTCTTTTTGTGGACGATTCAGTCTCTTGCTTGGTCCAGGAAAAAAGGCTGGGAATGGCAGTAGAATTAAGTCTCTGTATGGTGGGTTTGCGCCCTGAAAAAGGTTATAAAACATAAGTTTTTTGATAATTAAATGAACTTCCATTAGCAATGCATACTTTGTACTACCTGGCAAAATATTAACTAGATTTATTCATTACAATCTGGATAAAACTATGTTAGCCTGATTCAATGTACATCAAAATGTATGTTATGTAAATCCAAAGGACAAACAATGAGAGACTTATGCAACAAACGTACATTGTTTGTACCTAAATAACTATAATACAGATGAGAGCATGTCATTGTTTTGTTCCTGCTAACATTGTCATTGATATTTTTCAAGAAAGTCTATAAGGCATAGCTTATGCATTCCTGTCATTATAACATTAGCATAATTACTGCTAAAATAATTCTCAGTATGATATACCTCTTGTAAGAAATCATTATAATTGTAACAAGCACCAAAAAATCTCAAACAGATCACATTGAATCGTAATCCAAAAAATTATGACGTCTTGAATTAACCACCCCCTTTTATTCTAAAACGATAATTGCGGTTGTAAACAGACTTCGGTTTATTCGCATGGCGATTACATATATAACTATATATTTTAAAAAGAAAATAGAGTTTTACCATGAATAGTTTCCTGCACGTAGTCATTTTCAGTAAAATGTGCCTTGCAAACAACAGCTGATTGAGTCTGAGATGGACTCCACGATTTCATCGTGTTCTCGTCCAATCTGCGTATGGGCCATGGCATTGATCCAACTTTTCCTTCTTTTTAAGTCATTTGGAAATGCATGTCCTCCTCTTAAATGACATCCAGGTACACAACAACAAGTACTTGGCATCGTTAATTAAAAATGCAACTGTATAGTTGCACAGTGCTTTCTTTCTTTCTTTCCAAATCTTCACATCCTTTGTAGGACAACCACACCGCTACACTATCTGTTCGGCATGTAGAACAAAAAGTGCAGAAACCGGAAGAACAGGATCGGCTACCACGGCGCCACCTATTCAGGAACGATAATTTGCTACTTTATATAACTGCGAAATAACAATCAATAACGTTAGATGGGTTTACGTGCATAAACAGAAATGCGCCTTAAATTGTATAATATAATTCATGTTCAGTCGACCTTTAATTATTATATCAACGACTGAAATGATTTATAAACATCTAGATTGCAGATAACACTCGAAATTAACCCGACCTCTTTCCACACGGAATTCAAATAATTCTAGTTTGTCAATCGGTTGACTGCTTATAATGCAAAATGCAAATATATCAAAAGTTTTTAAAACTAACAAAACACAATGATCGTTTCTCTATTTCCCAATGTAAATGAAATGAAACAAAAAACATTTTAAATCACAATAAGAAGAGGAGAGAATCAACATTTTCCGGATCTACTTGGAGCCTAATGACCCCCCACGTAGATAAGTTGGATATCGCGGAAAGAAAGATTAACACGGCAACTAGAAAGGCATTAAAGCACTGCCTTTAAAAAAAAACAAGCTTGAAAGGATACAATGTCAAGCGGCAAAATCTACCACAAGAGATTACAAGTCAAAAGAGGATGGACGGGATACGTCTCTAAAATGCTTGCTGAACTGGAACTACAGCAAGATTTCCAGACAAGACGAACAAAGCGTTGAAGCCAGAAGTTAATATTTATGTAAAAAGTAGTTGAGGGGCTGATTCCCGCTATTGAACCATTTTGTCATTCTATAATATCATTGCGTAAGTATTTCTGTATTGGCCTTGTTATTGGTCCATGTCTTGGGTGTATTGGTCTGAGGCGAAGCGAAAGGCCAATACTGCTTGCCATGGACCAATAATAAGGCCAATACAGAAATACACGTAATTAGTATCTTTATTAATTAACTACAGTGTTACAATATTTTTTTTATTTCATTTCACAAGAGATAAACATTTTTACCTTGAAGTGGAACTATCCAAATCTCAGTTTCCTTTTATAAGATGCAATATCTAATGATTCGGTGCCGTTTGACTGCTGGCCGAGAACCAATAAAAAGGCCAATACAGAAATACACGTAATAGTATCTTTATTAATTAACTACAGTGTTACAATATTTTTTTTTATTTCATTTCACAAGAGATAAACATTTTTACCTTGAAGTGGAACTATCCAAATCTCAGTTTCTTTTTATAAAATGCAATATCTAATGATTCGGTGCCGTTTGAAGTATCTTCAGCCTTTTCTCATCTGATGAATTTTTCTACCCTTTCCAGTCACTATAAAGTGTTACAACTTTAATTTAGACACAACACATAAATAGTAATTGGAAAGGTACTGCCATTGCATGTGTAATGCAAATATATTTAAAAAAAAAATAATATAAGAGTTGAAATTGATACAACTATCCATAAGCCAATTGACCAAAGAACGAAGATTTGCACAATTACAGAATGCATATGCCTGGTTCGGGTTTAAAAATAAACGACCGTTTAAATACAAAACATGAGAAGCGACAGTAAACAGTAAAAATCGATTTGTACCATCGGCATTGACATGATGAAATTATGAGGTCGTCAAGAAATGAACTTTGTGATAATTTACTCGTTCCCCAAACCTGAAATAATCCCATCGTCTACTTTCAAAATGCTTTTTAAATGAATGGGACCGTCTTTAACCTAAAATATATGCCATACTGAATGTTTCAGCTTGTTTATGGTGAGTAAACCTGCGTCTTACAAACAACTGTTTACTTTCGATTTGAGTTTATCGTGACTTACAATCTAAAAACTAGAGACGTTCCAAAATCCTGTTTTGTAAACAAAGATTCATACGCACCGCGTGGGTATAACCGTATTACTAATTTCAGATTTTTAAAATCTTCGTAAATCTGGATAAAGACCAGTTTCTATCCAATAGATATCAAAGTGATTCCGATTTTCACTTTTTTAATGATTGTAAAGTTGAAATGGCATGAAAGGCTGACATTATTTAGGAGAACTGTTTTGTCTAGCAATTGCTGATCATTGGAGGGTAAAAAGTCCAACACCATAACAAAACGGATCTATTTATCATGTATACATACCAATTGTTTACGATTGTAAGACATGTGCATAAAAGTGAAACCTCGAATAAATATGAAAAATATAACAAAGGGATAGCTCCAAATACCATTTACATTTAATAACAAAAAACATATGAACGTCAAGATATCTTTTTGGTAAATAAAATAAAGTATGTAAACTGGTTCCCGTCCGACTACAACACTTTGTAAGAGTGTAGCGTAATACAAGCAGATTCCAGTTAGTATGTAAAATCAATCTCCCATACAGACAGAGTTGTCATCCTTTCCTCCTCAATTTGGAGGAAAGGACGACAACCCTGTCTGTATTGGAGATTGATGTAAAATAGTAAATATGAAACCGAGTGCGGTAGGCGGAGGCAATAATCGACTTTCGTAAGTTCTGGTCAATGGTATCGGAAACATGCCGCTGATAGCGTCATTTTCCAAAAATAGCTGTCTCCTTTAGTACACACAAGCATAAAGTGAATGTGAAAGGGAAGCAAGGGAAGTTTTTTTTTTTGGACATGGTTCAAAGTTCATTTATGATTGTATGTCCATTTGGTGTATGTAAAATTACTCAAAACAGTATATAGGGTGTACGAGGAATTTTTAAGAACCTTCCTACTGCCACACGTTCATTTTAATGAGATATTAATAAAATGCTGTAGTCAAGATTCAAGACAAAGAGGGATGAAAGATACCAGGGGGACAGTCAAACTCATAGATCGAAAACAAACTGACAACGCCATGGCCAAAAATAAAAGGACAAACAGACAAATAATAATACAGATGACACAACATAGAAAACTAAAGACTAAGAAACACGAACCTCACCAAAAACTAGGGGTGATCTCAGGTGCTCCGGAAGGGTAAGCAGATCCTGCTCCACATGTGGCACCCGTCGTGTTGCTTATGTTATTACAAATCCGGTAAATAGTCTAATTCGGTAGGTCATATTCCTGACAAGTTGTATGGTTTAAATATTAATAAGAAAGTCCAGAACATGTGTTTGCTTCTGCTTTGTAAAAATTACAAAACATAAACATGTAATTTTTTTTTATTCTTTTGATATTTGATTGATGGGTTTAAATTATTTATTTGATATAAGGGTATGCCTTTATGATTACTTTCTTACTTGTTAAATTAGATAAAACCCATAATGTTTCTTTCTTAACGTGTCTGTGATTTGATGATAAGTAAGAGCCTAAAACAGGAAGTAGTTGTGGGTTCTCACATACCATAACTGTGTACTCGTCTGGACCACTACACAGGTTACCAAGACAACGAAGCAATGGTGTCACAACCTATAACAGTGACAAAGCATGAGCAAGAAAGGAAACACATTTTTGAACATCTTTTTTGAAGTATGGCAAAAGTATCTTTTCAAATATTCATTGTAGTGAATCTAAATTTAATAAAATATATAATAATAGAGACATATAATATTGCATCAAACTTTTAATTGGCAACTTAAACATGTTAATATGAAATATATGAGAATAAATGATAAGTAAACTTTATGAAAGATGTACATATATATCAGCTCATGATCGAAAATTGTAAACTTTTGAGTTAACCAATTGGTTTTTCGATTTTTAAAATTGTTTTTTAAAACTTTCATGAAAAAATGCCTCAAATTGGAAAAGCACTGGTTTCTATAAAATATTCTTTTATTCATAGTAATAACTTACTGTTGCTATATGTGGCTGCACCTCAGATAACTGTATCAGTAATACTACTATTTGTGTCAAAACACCATTTTTCACAATTTCTTCTGAGAATTCACCACTAAAAACAAAGAAAAGACCCTCTTAACTTTGTCCATAACATAAAAGACCTCCTAAATCTATAAGTCCTAAAGTCAGAAGTATGTAGACAGATCTTGAGAAGTTATCTCAATACTAGGGAAAAATAAAATTGAGGTATCTTTTTTTGTTTTCAGGTGTGCTCCTTCTTTGGAGTATTATACACAGTAGAAGTGAATACAATCAAGGGCGGCAAGTTTTGTTATGTTCGTATCAAAAGTGATGGGAGGCAAAGACAAAAAACGTCTGAATACGACATTTTTAATGGAATACAAGTTAACAGATGTTTTTTAAATAAGTTAATCGTTGTTTTCATCTTTCTGTCATTGATGACGATGTTTAATGTCCAGTGGCAAATATTACATACATATCAAGATGAGAACCTGTTAATAATGTAATATGAATATGCACCCTGTTTTGTATTTTACAGACTTTTAATGTGCTAGTTCAGAAAGTAAGTCTGCAAGAATACATGCCACCCTTATGAGCTTACCAGTCTTTTTGCTCTTACTACTAAATGCCACATGCAGAGAAGCCACGAATACTGATTTTCAAGTCTTTGGTTTATAACCAATAACCTCATGCACTAAATCTAAGTTCTCTATCATGAGACACTGTGATAGTTAAAGTTTTACTGAAGTCCATTCACTGATGTATCCATAGTTGCAGATACCAAGACCAAACAGACATATGAACATACAAACAAACAAATAAATGCATCTATATATAAGTGCCACTTAACTAAGAAGGGAGTATAACATAATAAATGTTATAGAAATCAGTAAATCTACCTTGAGGCTAAATAAGTGAAGACCCATGAGACCTCTGACAGTATACTGACATTGTCTGGCTGATAGGTAAAATGTGGCAGTAATGCTGGTATAACCTGACTCTGTACCATCTCCCTAAAATATATAAACAGATATGACAAAAAATTTCGAAGACATATTGGAAAACTATATAAAGGGATAGGGAGCTTAATTTCACAAATCCCTAAAATTTGAAGTAAACTGATTCAAACATATTAGAGTTAGTACACACCATGTGAAAAACTACCTTCAATTTGAAGATTAAAGTCCCATAAATCTGGAATAACAAATCATAAAATTTTCAAAATGGAAAGGGGGCTTGTGTTTACCCATCTCAATAAAAGTATAAAGTTTCAAGAAAATCAATTCCAGCATACTCCAGCTTGTGTGTGCCATGTGAAACATTTACCGGTACTTAAATCTGATGGTTAATATCTCACAAGTCTGGAAAGACCATCAAGATCATTTTTCAACTTGAAAGAGACATTACTTTTACCAATCCTAACAACAGTGTAAAGTTTTAATTTAATTATACTGGAATCAGTCTACAAAATGTGAAAAATAGCCTTAAATTTGACGGTTAAACCAAACAACTCAAAATGGGAAGGGAGGTTTCATCCATTGTTTCCAATATTCAGTAACAGTTTTATGAAATTTGATCAAAGCTCTCTCTGTTTTGTATGATGTGTAGACAGAGGGACAGACAGATGGACACAGTGTACCATTATACATCCTGTCTATGAAGGTGTATACAAATTATACATACATTTTAAATGTTTGTAAATTAAATGCTCAACATTGGAAATTTTTGCGCATTTGATGTGAACGAGAAATAAGAAAATATAACAACAACACAGAAATATCAATGTTTACAGTATACAGGTTATACATCCTACCTTGAGATTTCAATACATTCCTTGGCCAAATTGGATAAAGCAAAAGCTGCTGACTGTATGACTGCTGGGTGCTGGGACTGAAATAAAGAAAATCTTTTTTTGAAGGAACAACAGTGAGAATTGTTATTGAATTTATCAATATCTTTTCTTTCATTTTTCACTGATAAACTCCTCCTTGACCAATTTCAGTTCTGATAATGAATAAAATTCAATTTTGGGATCAATTTTATTAGGTTTCTTTGATGTATTACATGATAAATTTCACCTGAGGTTTTCTGTGAGACATTTCTCATTTATGTTCTGCAACAATTTCTAGTACACTCATTCTTTGATATTAATATGACAGTTTGATACCAGTATTTCTATTTATCTTTTATGGAATAGAATGTCCCAAAAATATGTAGCCATTAAAGCTTAATGTTATAGCCATCGTAAAATTAACATAGTGAAGTACCTTTATCTATGGGTTCTGGTTTGTATATTTTTAAATTTCATGTTTCAAGTTTTGTATTTAATATATTAATAGAAAATATGCATTTCAATGGTTATTAAAATTATTGTAGTCTAGTTTGCTTGTGCTTGCAAATATATTACAGCACATTTATTTCTCAATATTCATTGAAATTGTTGTATAACCTATACACCCTTTTTTTCCATTGACGTAAATCTTATATCAGACTAACCTGTAATAATTTAATTAATGGTGCAACCACACCCTGAGCCCTGACCATATTTCTACACTCTTGACTGTCTCCTGCCAAATTACCAAGGGCCCATGCACTCTGGTCCTGTAAACATGAAACAAAAAGTAAAGTCATCTAACAGAGCTCCCAAAAATCCTAATAGTCTACATGTATATACACAAAATAATAAGTAGTATAAATATTGCATAAAGAAAGTTTTTGAGGAGAGTGAAATTGTAATGACAAAATTTTGTGGAATTTCATATGCTTAAAGACTAAACTCCAGATTAATATAATCTGCCATATGTACCCTTAAATAAAATATTTTTTTTTTAGGTTGTTGTTAATAAATTGTTTACTACTGTTCTTAATCTGACATTTTAATGATAAGCCTTGTTATCAGAACAAACTAAAATACTTACCAGGGAAAACATCCTTTTTGTTGATTTTTATTTTTTTAAAAGAGACTTAATAAGTTGTGGTGCAGATATGAAATATCCATGTGTCATCCATACCAAACTTCATCTCTATTTGATTGTTCTTAACATGTCAATACCAAACTTTGATCCAACCAATCTTCATCTTGTTTCATGATTATGAGTTAATATTGTTCCAGCATTTTTTTTTAAATCCTCCTCCTGTGGTCTTTAGAGGACAGTTGTCTCATTGGCAATCTTACCACAAGTATATCTCCTTATACTTATATTTGAATTAACACACTTCACAGCTTGTAAGAGATAGATCTCACTATTGTGGTAAGCTGCCAGGTATGGTGCTACATATTTATGAATTCTCACGAGTACATGAGATTATTACCTGTAAGAGAAAGTTCTGACTACTGAGGTAAGCTACCAGGTATGGTGCTACATATTTAGTGATTAACATGGCCTGGTCATGGCTTCCTGCTGATATGTTTGTAATACACCATCCTGCTTCCAGCTGTAACTCTGAATTTGTTCCTGTGTATAGTCCCACCAGTGTGTGTATGATGTTTTCCTCACTAAAAAAAGATTTTTTTTGTATTTAAAGTTGAATAAACTGATAACATAGACAAATGTTTAACATGTGTAGCTTAATCACAAACTTGATCTCAGATGGTAGATTGATTATTGGTGTTTAATGCCACTTTCAGTACTATTGGTTATATCATTGTGGTCAGTTTTTAAAGGTGTATGAAGCCAGAGTGCCCAGAGAGAACCATGACCTTCAGCAGGAAAACTGACAATCCTAGTCAACTAAGATTGGAGTAGAACACACCTCCCTTGTGCAGGGGTTCGAACTGACAACCTCAGTGTTGACAGACTAATAACACAGTAGATGAACTACTTAGACCACTCGGCTACCAAGGCCCCTGTGCTGATGGTAGGGACAGCATGTCCAAGATTTTCACAACTTTCTTACAGGTAAGACAAAAATATAATATAAAAATAAGGAGATGTGGTATGATTGCCAATGAGACAACTATCCACCAAAGTTCAAATGAAGTGGATGTAAGCAACCGTACCTCCTCCAACAATGAGAAAAACCCATACCGTATGTTCGGCAAAAAAAGACCCTGACATGAAAAATATGAAACAATTCAATTGAGAAAACTAACGGCGTAACTTATAACAAAACAATTTAAGAAAAAACCAATATGACAGACATGAACCTACCACAACTACTGAACTACAGGTTCCTGACTTGGGACAGGCACATAAAAAATGTGGAGGGGTTAAACATGTTTGTGAGCACTCAACCCTCCCCCTAACCTGGAACAGTGTTGTAACAGTACAACATAAGAACAAACTATAATGTCCTGTTATATCAAACAGTAATACACAATAAATATGAACTAGAACTGTGAATGAACTCTCAAAAGGACAGTGCATTCATGGACATTGGATTATCTCCCTTTTAACATTGATTTTCAATTAAATCCCCTTGTACATACTATACATGCACCATTTGGCATGTTCGGCAATCAAAGGCCCTGAAGTAATGTTCATTTACTTGCCTTACAAATGCATCAATGTACACTGTTCCTTGTGAAAATGCTTGTCTTAAAAGTTTTAAAGCTGCTAAAGTGTTAGTTCCAGACTTCTTTAAATTAGCTGATATGGTTTTTACCTAAAATAAATGAAAATTAAAAATGTAACATAACTGCAGATCCCTTGCTACTTAACATTAAGGAAAGTAAAAGCAATGTCATTCTGATATATTTAATGAAACATAGTTTTTCATACATAAGATTGAATGGAATCTATAGTCATAGTAGTAGTCATTTGTGTTAATTAATAAAATGCTTTCATGAAAAATAGTGGACGTTTTTAAATTAAAAGTTCTCTCCTACATTGTATCTTAGTATAGATATTTCTTGCAAACTGATATTTTGTTGCCAAAGAAACTCCTACTTAAATGTATGAACATTTCATTCTTGATGCACAATCATTCTCATATGTTGTGTCAAAATGTATAAAACTTCCTAATAAACTGCTTCGCTGAGCGCAGCTGGATACGCGTGCAGAGGTCCAACCCTGAACAGTTGGGGCAAAAATGGACACAATATTCAAGCTTGATACAGGTCTGAATTTGGATTGTAATTAAATATTTGAAATATTATAGGTTTCTGAATAAATGTAGTCAAAGAACTTGAAATTGGTTATATGAATTGAATTTATATTCAATTAAAGATTTCTTGCTGTTGTGCAATACACTGTATTGTTGCGCAATACTTAGTAAATCTGTTGTCAGACTATAAACAATTAAAGTTCAATTAATTCTCAATGTCATATTAGAAATTTATGAAAATGTAAAGAGAGCTTACATCAATAGATATAAACAATTCACCAAAGTTTCATGAGAATTGCTGACAGCATTTTTGAGCTATTGTCCAAAAACTGGAAAATCCCCCCTTTTTTAATGAATAAAACCCCATAACTCAGAAATGTTAAATGTAAAATTTATAAAATTCGAAACGGAGCTTACATCAATAGATATAAAAAATTCACCAAAGTTTCATAAGAGCTGCTGAAAGCGTTTTTGATTTTTTGTCCGAAAAGTGGAAAATCCCCCTTTTTTATGAATAAAACCCCGAACTCGGAAACGTAAAATCTAAAATATATAAAAATCGAAAGGGAGCTCATGTCAATAGATATAAACAATTCATCACAATTTCTTGCAAGTTGGTGAAAGCATTCTTGAGTTATTGTCCAAAAATTGGAAAATCCCCCTTTTTTTAATGAATAAAACCCCATAACTCGGAAACGTAATATCTAAAATTTATAAAAAACGAAAGGGAGCTCACGTCAATAGATATAAACAATTCACCAAAGTTTTATGCAAATTGGTTAAAGCGTTTTTGAGTTAATGTCCGACATGTTGATGACGGACGGACAGACAACGGTATACCATAATACGTCCCATAAACGGGCGTATAAAAATGTTGCATGGCTTTCAAACATAACAGGTAACACAGTCACAAAATCTTGTTATTTTTCATTGTTTTTATTTTTTCAACTGTAACACAACCTTTGTTGATTTTAAATATCGTAAGAAAATTCACTGTCAGATCAAATATGTGCTGCATATAATCTTTATAACAAAAACTATTTTTTTTCTTTTTGTTATTATATCTTTATTCATCATTCCTTTCCACAATGTTCCATCCACATTCAATGTGGTCACTGGTTGTGTTAGGTGGTTAAAGCTAAAATGCATAGAAATAGAAGTAGACAATGATATATATTTTGGTTGACAAATGAGCTGCGTCGGATAGAAATCGACTTATGCAAGTGCACATATAAAACTTTGATTGATTTTGGAACATTCAAATACGAAATAAAAGATAAACTTTGATCTCTTTTGTAGTGTTCTCATAACTACTAAATTTTCAAATAGTTACAGACTTTGCATAGAGATTTTTTCAACCCGAATTAGGATAACAGATATATTTATATTCATTTGCATAAGGTCGATTTCTATCCGATGCATCTCAAATGTTTTTTTTAGCTTTACCATTGAGGTTTATGCAACCTCTCATTTTCACAAGATATTTTTTATCAACAGATTATAACAAGAGTAGCATTGATGGTGACATAAGTTGGACAATAACTGTTGACCCTTCCAGTACACCTGAGTTCTCGGCAATCTTTAGACATGTTACATTTCTGTATGGTGTTTGTGGACAGATGTTTGTCTGTTTGCCTTTTTTTTTTTGCCCATGGTGTTGTCTGGTTTTCGTCATTGCCTCCTGAGAATCATCTCCCAAATTTTTGTTCTTCATATAATGTTTCACTCAAAATAAAATATTCCATCGTTTTACAGGAAATTTTGCATTGCCAACCAGTAAAACACAGCCTTTTAATTGCTTGTACACCTCATCTACATGTACATAAGAACCTAAAACAAATTTTGCATACTTCACTTATACTGTATTCATCTGTTATTTCTTCTCCTTCAGCTAGACGAAATCTCTTTGAGCTTAGTAATTTATCTTTCTTTTCTTTTCTTAAAGCTGAAAATAAAAGTACATGTAGTCTGTTATTATAATTATGTTTATGTAACACAATAAGATTGATCAAATTTATTTGTTCTGTGTATGTTCATTTGTGTTATTACGTCTTTTGATTGAGTTAAGCCATTTCAATTGATATTTTATAGTGTGTCTTTCTATGTTGTGATGTTACACTATTGTTTCAGATAAGGCATGTATTTTATGGTGAAGGTTTGGTACCATTAAAACGTTTAAACCCGCTGCAATTGTTTGCACCTGTCCTAAGTCAGGAATCTGATGTTCAGTAGTTGTCGTTTGTTGATGTGGTTCATAAGTGTTCAGACATGTGACAGAGTTGTCAAGCCACAACTGGAGATTTGAAAATTTTCAGCTGGAGTTTGGATCTCATAACTGGAGATTTTTTATCGACCTTTTTTTTGTCGTACGCAATGTTTTTTTGGTGTGTTGAAACTGCATATCTTCCTTTTTTGTTAAAAGAACAATGATTCCATACCTTTAAACACCTGTATAGCCATTTTTACTTGATAATAATAGAAGATAAGGGGTTTTCAAATTTTTATTCATCATATATAGTTCAAGATATGTTATAACAAGTTACAATAACAGAACAATATAAAATTTCAAACAATAGTCACTATGTTGAATGTTTCTTATAATGTTTACACTAAAGCACTAAATTAAAAAGTTATTTTAAACAACAGTTAAAGCAAACTATTTAAATGTCACAAGAGAACATGATTTTAAATAAATATATAAAGCACAGTTTTTACATTAGCAAGAGCACTAATCATTGTTTAACATGAGTTCAAACACAATTTAAGAAAGAGACTGTTTGTATAAGGCACAAGCTGACTTTGCTGCTTTGACTAGTTCAGGTTCTGGTTTATACTGGTGACAGTCTGTTGGGTTGTTGATCTTTACACTAAGTAGACTGTGGATGGTCTTATCAGCTAGGTTGTCTCTGGGTTCAGACTGGATCTTCTTTAGCATTGAAAAAGTTCTTTCTGTGTCAGCATTGGAGTGTGGCAGGGCTAGTACAACTTTGCTGAGTGCAAACAGGTGCTGAAACTGTTGTTTAACACTTGGTAGCTTCAGGTTGCCAATAGAGGTCCAGAACTGGTTGAGTGAAGGTGTATCTGGATCAAATGCTGGCAAATCACACAGAGGAGTAAGAAAATACTCAGCAGCTTCATCTTCTAGTTGACTGGTTTCTTGCTGATTATAGTTGAGGAACCTATCAGACAAGCTGATAACTGAAAAAGAAAAAAAATAATAAGTACTAAGTTTAAACAGTTCAATGATCAATCATAATTCAAACAATAAATGTTGTGCTATGTAATATTATATCTTCTCTATAAGCTATAGGCAGTTCAGTATCATTGGCATATACCCCACAACTGATCAATTTTATGTAAATTATTATACTGTTATGACTCATGACACAATATTATGTTATTCTGTTTGTAACAAGCACTCACTTTCATCTTTTGGACAGTGTTGACTTACTAGACTAACAAAAAACTCACCTTCATATGGAGATAACTTGTTTTTGCTGAGTGGATTCAGAAAACTGATGCCTCGGAGAACCTTGTCTTGGAATGGGAACTTCTTTATCATGGTTTCAGTCATAGTGCAGTAGAACTCCCTGACTGTACTGAAATAGAAATAAAACATTTATTAAAATGTACAAAACTTGATATACACCTTAAGCAAGTATACTCTGTGTGAATTGAAATGGAAACTAATGAACAATTACATCTGATGGGATTATTTTCTCTTCAAAATATTTCATGTATTGCATGTATTCTCTGTTGACTATCTCAAGAACATATACCCTAGATTATTTTTTCTTTGTTAACACATAATAAACATACCTGAAGAAGTTGTTGACTGTGTGTGGTGGTAGGTCATCATTGTCGCTAAGGAACTCTCTGACTTTCATACCAACTGCAATTCTGGTGTTGTCGTGTTGGTTGTCTGTACACCTGAAGTCTACCTTTGTGATGTCTGACTGTGCTGTGATGGTACTTGTAGTGACAAATTTACCCATCATCTTGCGAAAAAGTCGCACCATTTCTGTGTGTAAGTAACCAATCATGGACTCACCAGCCTACAAATTAAAATATTTATTAATATCAATTGACAAAAAGGAAACATTCACAAGTTGTACTGATTTAGAAATGTTTATATATATTGAAATATTGTATAGACATCTGTAAACTGTTGAAGACTGTATGTTGACATATATTTGTCTTTGGGTTGCTGTCTCATTGAATTATACCTCACATCTAAAAGATATTAAAATTATGCCTTAAAATAGGTACAATATACATATTATCAAAATAAAATACCTGAAACATCACATTGAAGTCATTCAGGATAGGCATGACAAACTCCAGGAAGGCAAAATACAACCACATCTGGTCACTGGTGAAGTACTGCATACATCTGTTGATACGACCTGGCTTCTCACACTCTGCATGGCTCTGAAAGTAACTCTTTAAAGCTGGCCACTGCTGTAGGGTACGCTGAACACACCTCTCTAAAGACAACCACCTGGTACTGCAGTGCTTGATGATCTTCATTGGGTCAGTCTCTGTGAACTCTTGGAACTCCTTGTAATTCTCTCTTCTGGTGGAACTGAAAAATAAAATTCAAAAATAAAGAATTATGAATACCATTGTGTTAGTTTTATATTTGATTAAATAATATTATTACATTTGTCTTATTCACTCAGTCAGTGACAGTCACATTCTTTAATTTGATATCTTATTGTTCATTTTTAAAACTAGGACACATGTATATAAATCATGTACAAAGAAACATGTAATCCATTCGTTAATTTTTTTATTTCAAACAATTTTTTTTTCAAAACATCTATAGAGATAATAACTACAATGTGATACCTATGATGAAAGTGGTAGTAGATGTCCACCAAGAAGTCATCAACTGGCAATGGCAGGGTCTTGATGGCCTTCTGTGCACAGAGGTTGGCTAAGTGGCAAACACACCCTACGTTGAACACACTTGGTGACATCTGCTGAATACGGGTCAGGACACTGTTGTTCTTGCCTATCATCACATTGCAGTTGTCAGATGAGAATCCAATGCAGTTGGCCCAAGGAATATCTCTATCACTGAAAAAAATTAAAAAAAAGATTAACATTTTGATCACTTACAAATAAATGTACATGTGAGGTATATGACAATTTATATTCATCATGTTAAATTTTATTCAACTGAATTTAATTTTAAATTAAAATATTAAATTAAATCCTAAGTTTTATTTAGTAAATTTAATAAATATTATCTTATTTTTATACCAATAATAAATTTATTCAGGATACAATTTTCAGACTGTAATATGCCTTCTTGATGTCTTTTAATTATTTTTGTAAATGGGTTGCTGTCTCACTGATGTATACCCACATCATTTTATTAATCTTTAGAAAATGTAGAAAATGTACTTACATGAACACCTGATTCAGGCAGTTGAATATTGATGAGCTGGTTCCAATATTGCAGGTTGGGATACCAAGGAACTGTGTGGACACTTTGCATAAAGTCTGATTGTATACACGTACAAGGATGTTGAGCTTCTTGTTATCACCTTTGTCATTTGACTCGTCAATCATAACTGTGAATTTCTCACTACGGCACATGTCGTTTACTTTACTGTCCCAGTGTGGTGCTAAAGCTTGTGTGATGATGTGGGTTGTCTTGGTCCTCTTACAGGCAAACTTCTGTGCAGTTGCAGAGTCTGGAAACATAGCCTTGATTAGGTCACTAAAGTGGTCAGCCATCAGGAATGCACAGTTGTGCTCAGCTACATAGTTGGCGAAAAGTACCTCAGCATAAGCAACATTGTCAACTTTGGTACCACTACTAAACATACTACTAACAGAAGGTGTTGAGCTGATGGAGTTGTGGGCTTTCTGATGGTTAGCTGTCTCCATATGTTTGGTCATGTCATTACGGCCACCGTAGCATATTTTGAAGTCAGCCTTGCATGAAGTGCAGTAGGCATGGTCTGTACCCTTGGCACTGGCCTTGCACCATTTGAATTCAGATTTCCAGGCAGTGTTGAATTTGGCAAGATACTTGGTCTTCTTTGCTGCTTGGGTATTTGGTGATAACATACGTTTCGGCATTTTGACAAATTATAAAATTGCCCAAGACAAACATTGTTATATAGGTATTCCATTGGCTTGGATAGAAAACAAGCCATAATTATCATATTTGAGTTGATTTCATATTTCTTTGAGGTTCAGTTCCGTGTTTTCAACAGCATCAAAGATCGCCGAGTCGTTGTTTATACAAATTAGGCCATTGTTGGTCTTTCACTTTTAATCATAAAGGCGTGTGTCTTAAACTAGCCAGCTGATCACCTGGTAATTACCAATCAACTTTTATTGCTGTATATACAGTGTCAGTCTAATCCTAAACACCTTTATTGATTACTTGACGCTAATTGCCCTATATTTACCTTTGTCACAATATCAATAACAGGAAATGGTGACTTCCGTTTTTTCAGTGTTTTCCCATAACAATTTCGAGTTTCTTGGACTTTTTCTCTGTCCGTATCAATTTTATAAACAAAAATGTCTTCTAAAAAATTTTCGAGGTTTAAATTTTCAAAAAGCGGAAGATTTCAAATTTTAACGGGAGTGACAGAAGAGGGTCTGAAAAGCGGAAGATTTTGACTTCCGCCAGAAGAATCACATGTATGAGTGTTTCTCGTTTCTAATATAGATTAGACCATTGGTTTTCCCATTTGAATGGTTTTACACTAGTAATTTTGATGATGCTGAAAAGTCTGATGCTTACGGTAGTATTGAAATGTTTTCAGAACCGGAAGTTTTAATGATTGACGATTTAGATGGACTGGCATACTGAAAATGTATTACCTTGCAGTATATTCTTTAATTGGTTTTTTTGTGTGTATATTATATATGTAGTTATTTTTTTTTTACTACACTAGTATCTCAGAACAACTCCCCTTAAACACGTATGTTTATAAACTTCCTACCAATTTCTTCATTTCTATTCCTGTTTCTTATTGTATCAACATCATCTGTCTTGTGTTTATACTGAGCTTTTCTGTCCATCACAGAAAAAAAATGAGGGGACGGGAAGGACAGGAAGAGGAACCAACGCTTTGTTATTACATAAAGAATTTATACTAAAACCAACTGACAATGTAAACACGAAACGAAGAACATTACGATAGATCGTTATGTTGTGATTGTACTTTGGAGTCTAGAAAAATATTTTATGATACTTCAAGAATAGGAATCATTTGTTCTTGGTGGAGATGGATTCATTATTTGTTTACGAAAAATAACACGAACGTTTAAAAAGAGTAACGTGGCTGTTTTCATCTGTCGGTCTTAAGTAGTATCAGGAAAAGGCGCCAAATTTAATTTATACAATTTACTGTTTGACAAAATGGTAGTGTATATTATACATGTTATATAGAAGAACAGATGGTTGTCATACAGTCATGCATTATTCTACACCCGACCCCCCACACACTCCCCATTTTATGCTATTTTAACCAATAATTAAAGCCTCACGTTTGGGTATTGGATTAGGATTTTTTTTGTCATTGTTTGCACCTTAGTTTAGAAATATTCAATTTCTATTTTCATATCACATACTTTAATACTTCTTTGTCGTAAAATACGACTTCACATTCTTATTCCATTTCTGACATTTTCATAGTGAAATTTTCATTTTATTATTTTTGTCAAGGATTTGTTTTTAGTTATACAAATCCTTGTTTTTGTTAAGGTTCATCATAACAAATGGACAAAAATGGCCTTATTTACACCCCAAAAACTACTCTGAGTACAGACTTACCTGTCCAGTTGGAAAAGTTTTAAGGCCTGGCATCCACTAGATATATAAAAGGTAAATGCATTTTGTGCAGGTCAGGAATAACCACCAATTGGTGGATTATACCTCAATTGATGTATAATCCTCCAATTGACATATAGTGGTATAGACCAATTGACGTATAATGCAAGTTTTTTTGTTATAAAATGCTAGTATGAGATAGGAGCATCATTTTGCAACATACAACCTATTTTATGACCATTATTGAGTCCTCTTAAAGTTTCAGTTTTTTCAAAGCCTGCTGCATCTCTTTAGAATGCATGTGTACAACAATTATTTTGTTGAAACATCTGTACTATTGACCATTAGCACATACTTACAACTTCTCGTCCAATCAAATTGCTTATATTTGCCTTCTAATTTTCATAGTACATACTTTTTCCATGTACTAAGTAACTACGCAAGAATGACCACAAGGGTAAGATTTCATTGTATCGTAATCAAGAAATTAGTTTTCAAATTGATTTTTTAACATCCTACTATTTAATCTTAGGATCTAAAAATGTTTTTGACGATTAAAAGTTTCTTTCATTTAAATAAAGAGTAACAAATATGATTTTTTATACCTTGATTAGAGTACAACGCCATCTGAAAATTGTAATCATTTATCTTCCATGCAATTACTTTGTACACAAAAAAGAGTGAACCATGAAACCTTGTGAAGGGAAATTAAAGCAATTTGATCTATTTCGTCATGAATTGATTGATTATTGGTTGCTTAATGTCCAGTGACAAATATTTCATGCATGTAAACTATCTACTAGACTACCTATGGGTACATACCAGGGCAGATCCAGTCATTTTTAAAAGGGGTTCCAACCCGAAATAAAGGGAGGGGGTGGGGGGGGTCCAACTGTATGTCCTCATTCAAAAGCATTGATCATCACAAAAAGGGCGTTTTCCATCCCCCTCCTGAACTCCCCCTCCCCCTTTTTGGATCCGCCACTGCAAACTATCTATATGTGTAAAATTTATTATAGTTTTGGTTTTTATGTGAAATTGAAAAAAATGTTTTCAAGAATGTAAAGCTTCCATTGCAATTTAATTATTGCCTGCTTTTAGTCAATTTATTTTGTCATCTTACCATGTGAAGAAATACATGTATAAAAAAACACCGCTTTGTGTCAATAAACATACTTACACCAGCAGCTACCATCTTTTCATTCTGGATTCAATATTTTACAATAATACTAGTGAGTAGATTTACAAAACTACGTAAATGAGCTACACTTAGTCAGTCAAACATATCAATAGACTAATTACAGGATTACTCAAGTTGTAAATATGTGCTAAATTGGATAGTGTATGGAAAGGTATATACTATGAAATTAAGAGCTCGGGGCAAGCCCCTCGCTCTAAATTTCATAGTATATACCTTTCCATACACTAACCGACACTGATTGACTTTTAATAATGAAAGTCAAGTATTAACAAAGAGCTCCATTCACCTATGGAGTTGTACTCATAATCACATGACTGCAGACAGTATTGATGTCCATTGACAGGTGATTAGTGGTAAATTTGCCAACAAGAACTGACAAGATAACAATAGAAGAAACTGCAAATACAATTATTGATTAAATGCAATATATTATATGTTATGTCACTATACTAAACTAGGAATATTTGACATGTTTTCATACAATAATATGGTGTTAAGAAAACAATGCTCCATTTTGGTTGAATAATTTGCTATGAAAAACAAAGAATTATACGTCAATTGGTCTATACCATTATATGTCAATTGGTGGATTATACGTCAATTGAGGTATAATCCACCAATTGGTGATTATTCCTGACCTGTTGTGTTTCAGAAAGATATAATCTTTTTTGGATTTTGATGGGCATTTTTTTTCATTTCTGCAGAAGGTGTAAAAATAAACAAACACCTGAATTTCTTTGATACTGTCCACTCAGTTAAACCCTTTAACTCACCTATAGTTGTGTAGATATCTATTGCCTGTCTATTGTCTATGTCAATCAAGGACAATCAACACTTTTTACCTGAGAGGGAGCATCTCAAAGTTGTATCCCAACTTAGTTTATTTTTACACCTTCCGCAGGAATGAAAAAAAATGACCATCAAAATCCAAAAAAATATTTTATCTTTCTGAAGCTCAAAATGCATTTAACTTTTATATATCTAGTGGATGCCAGGCATTAAAACTTTTCAAACTGCACAGGTTAGTCTGTACTCAGAGTAGTTTTTGAGGTGGAAATACAGCCATTTTTGTCCATTTGTTATGATGAACCTTAAGCATGTTAAGAAGTCAATTCAGAATACTTGGCATAGGTCTGCCAAAATAAACAAATTTAACACCTGAATTTAATTTGATATGGTCCACACTTTTAAAATCAATTTCTTTTTAATTTTGTCCATGTCAATCTAAACAACTTACTTAAATATTATTAAATGCATATATGGGAACATCTCAAACATTTTTCGAAACTTAGTTTATTTTGGCTCCTTCTGTGGGAACTCTGCCTTATTTTTTTATTCCTTCTGATAAACCTTAAGGGCATACAATACAGCAGCAAGGGCAGATAAAATTGCATTTAAATTTAACATGTTTTTTGCAATGTTGCTAATGATAAAACATACTAATATAATTACATTACATGTATGTTTCATTATAATACGTTATTTTGATTGGCTAACAGCAATCTTGCGTCATTCTGAAATTAACCTACATTTCAAAATGAAAATGTAAAATTCATCATGTTCATGAAGACATGAGCTTCCACAATAAAGTGCACAGGTAAATAAAAGAAAAACTTGATAGAAATCGTGTTTTCATGATCCTAGCAAAAAAATGTAATTATAAGTATTGAATGATTCTTTTAGTAATTTTATAGGGTTGTAAAAGTGTTGACTGTGCGCACATTTTTAGAATGAGGTGCTTCTGCGCTTCATACAAAATGTACTTCGGTCAACGCTTTTACACCCCAATAAATTTACAAAAAGAAGCATTCAAGTCGTTAAGTATTATGTGTCTCTGGTCTCGCTGAAAATAAATCACTTGTGTCATCAAATTGGCTACATGAATTTGAATTTTTTGGCAATGTATAGTATAATTAAGCACACAAAATCTACTGCTGGGTATGAAATTTGAGTCAAATGAAGATGGTTTAATTTTCTATCATGCAATAAATATGTATATATGACATTAATTCATATAGCATTTTGATGTACAGTGGGAAAAGCTGCTCAGCGATGTTGAATAAAGAATACAATGCAATGTAATTTAGTGCCAATAAAGGGAAATGGGATCTCCAGTATTTAAAAAACTAGGTTTTCTATTTCTAGCTAAAAATGAGTACATGGACCCCCATTATTTTCTTTTCAAATAGACTATCTACATTTTTTTACATTGTACTACTTCAGGGATGTTATATCAAAATTGCATGAAAAAATCAATGATAGAAATTTTTCTATTTGCATTTATATGGTATATTTTTCTTTTTATTTCAATTGTACATATATATATTGAAATTGACTTTGTGTAAAAATTGTATGGAAAAATCAATACGAGGTCTTCTGTATATCTTTCTATTCCCAAATTTCTTAGACCATAAAAGATTTTAATAAACCTAAGTATTGAAAGGATTTTTGAAAATTATATCAGATAAATAATATATTTATGATCATCCCGGGGCGGTTCCAGAACCTCGATGTCTAGGGGGGGCACCATGAAACCAAAATTAAAGATTTGTTTAGATATGTATATATGCGAGTGTGGGTGGTGGTGGTGTCATGTATTCGGGATGATGGTGGTCGTGAGGAGTGTGGGGGGGGGGGGGGGGGGGGTCTTCATTTCTATATACTTTCATTATTGTTGGATCCATTTCTTTCTACTCTTTTTTATTTGCTGCCAATTGTTCTCTATTCTTTATAGTTCATCACACCTTTAACACATGTTTAATCTGTTTCCTATATTTTTTGGCCCATTTTTTTCTAGTCTTTACTTTTTGACCATTATTCTCTAATCTGTAAACCCCATTCATATATACCATCATACACGGTAAACCATTCATACCCTCATTCACGGTTACCTATTCATACCCTCATACATGGTAATTGAAACAAGAAAAAATATACACATATTACTGTACTATAGGTAGGTTTTCTAAAATTACAATATTATTTTATTAATGAGTATATATAAGGCACAGACCATTCATGTTTTGTGGAGGGGGAAGGTTTGTTTTAAAGACAAATCGTTGGTTTCCATAGAAAAATAAGGGGAACAGAAACACGACATTCAGTTTAAAAAAAATGCTGTATGCATTGAAAAAAATTGTTTGTTGTTTAATAAAGTTCGAAAAAGACTGTTCTGAGAAAGACACATTCCCCAGAAACCGTATACAATGTGAGTGTTTGGTAATAAAGATGTTTCTCATATCGATACTAACATTCTTGACACTAAATATCTATATTCTTTTAAGACCGATTTTATTTGGTAATTTCTTTCCTGATCAAGATTTCACTTGTTAATCGATCTTGATCCTGTAATGTTGTATTAGAAACCAATAAATATATTCGTATTAATTCCAATCAGCATGTACATGTAGTTTACATAAATGCTTTTGGATACAGACATTACACAAAGGTGTCAATATTTACACACCCATCGATAAGTCATAAATCACGCATGTTGAAGCTGTGGTTAATTAACGACCAGTTTAGGAAGTCAAATCAAGCTGTGTCTTGATTTTCGATCTAGATATCTAGATAAGCAGATACAGTAGCAATAAAACTATGTTAGAAATTTTTTTGTGACCCCGACTGGGGGGGGGGGGGTGCACGAGCCCCCTGTGCCCCCCCCGGTAAATCCCCCACTGTCATCTATAGAACTTATGAACAGATTAGTTTTTAAATGCATTTTCTAGCTTAAAATTTGAAAGCCAGGGATGTATATATATTTAAAAATGTTACTTGCTTATGGCCTAAAAAGAATAGCCAAATTATAGGTTGCTAGCGTCTTCTGATTTATAATAAATAATGATAATCATGATAATAATAAAACCTGAAAAATTCCCAGTTATATGATACATGTATTCATCCTCTGTATTTGATAAGCAAAGGCAGTGCATTTACAAAGAAGTACCCATGGCATGAAGATTGTTGTTGGTTTCTTGACAAGACATTGCAACTTTACCATACCATTCCAACGCTCACAAGTAATATGAGTAACAGAAATGCTAACAAAGATAAGAGGAACCTGAAATTTCATTGAGCTATCCTTGCTGCTAACATTGACAACAGATTATGATTTAGTGGCTAGAAAATTGTTCAAGGTGATGGAAAGGTTTAAATAACCTGTATGTAACTACTAAACACTCATATAAAAATTTTGTAACTTGATTGAATCTTCAATTTTTGTTACTGTCTATCGCTAAAGTTGTCATACTTAGGAAGTATCATTTTGCCTTTTAGCTATGAATATATATTATATCATTTTTTAAACTCTGAGTTGTTTAAATCTGGCAGAGTTTGTTTGGACCTTGTTGAAATACTCCAGATTTCCACAGGACCTCATAAAAATTAGACAGTCTGGCAGTCAGGTCCAAAGATTTTCAACTGCTCTTCTAACAAGCACTTAACAATGTATGCATTTTTTGTAGTCAAAGAAAAGAGGACTGAGTGTAGAAGAGAAGAGAACAAGAATGATGGAGTTCTTTTTTGAAAAGGTAAACAAATATACAATATTAGGTCAATGTCAGAAAAATATAAAATTTTTAGTAGGAGGCTGAGAAACTGGGGAATGGTAAGGTTGTACCGAGCCCTTCCCCAGTTTTGTGCAGAATACAAAAAAGTTTATATTTTTCTGACATTGACCTAATATTGTTTTTATACTGCAACTGAAACCAATACATTGATAGCTATTTGAATTGTAACACAAATTTAAAACTTATTTTCATCCCTTAATGAACCCCTGATTGTAGAAAAAGTGTTCCATGATGAAATTGACATTGCACAGAATATAGCTGTGTTACTATATTTAGAAAATAAACACAACTAGTTGCAGTATGATTAGGAATATAATTTATGAAAGTATTTATGTTTATTAGCCCTTGGAGCAGTTTAATGGTGGTTGGGGTTGTTGTTTGGGGGACTATTGGAACACACATGACATCCACATATGCATTTTCCTCCAGTTATCAGAAACTCGTAGACATGCTACATGTACAATGTATCATACATTTGGTATGCTGATGCAGCTTGGAGAGTGACTGCACCATTAAATGAAGGTCACATGGTCTACTACAGGATAAGATTGCCATAGCTGTATTTGGCGTACCTTTAAGAATTTGGGTCCTCAATGCTCTTCAACTTCATAATTTATTTGGCCTTTTTAACTTTTATGATTTGAGCGTCACTGCATGATGATTCTTTTGTAGACGAAACACAGGTCTAAATTTTGATCCTGGTATCTATGATGAGTGTATAGAAATCATATTTCACTGTTTACTGGTTTTGACATTTGAGAAAATTGTTTTGGCCAAAATTCAGGCAAGTTTAGTGCCAATTTTTAAATTTGAGTTGCTTACAAACACATTGTCTGTTGAAAGGATGCAGCATATCTTATATGTGTATAAGATATGGATGATTTTATATTTGAATCATGTGTATACTATAAATGTATAAAGTTCTCATGTACTGAGAGTCCTACAAATATATACTTAAAAAGTACAGGGATGCATTTTGAAAGAGTATACCAGTCGCCCACTTAATATAAAAATAAGGAGATGTGGTATTGACTTGCAAATTAGATGAGGTTTAATTTCTCTATTTATTCATCATAATTTTGTGATTAGGTTTATGGATACAGCTTGGGAAATGTAACAGCCTCAGTCTGATCCAAGGATCCGGAAATTTTTCCAGACAATTTCGGTCATTTTGAGATGTTTGAAAAGTTGTCGATATCAACTTGACTATATTCATAGCATCAACGAACATGACGAACTTGTATTGCTGTTTCATCGCATGAAGGACAGTTTAGGGAAGGCAACAGTCTAAAATTGAAATGATTTTAATGACTCAAAATGGTTAATTTCTCAGACATTGCTTACGTTTCTTTCGATTTTACAAAAGTTAAAACCGGAAGTTTGCGATATTTTAAAGTACGAATAATTCCGGATTCATTTCCGGATTTGTTTTGTTTATCAAATTGACAGGAAATCACCGGCTTTTTATGGCTTTTTTATTTTATTACCTTTAAAAGTGTTTGAATATAACAGATAATAGTTGCACTCGTTTAATTTAGCATGAAATCAATTTGCATTTTACGATTTAAATATTAAATTTGTTGAAGACAATTTCACGCATGCGTATTACATAGTAAATAAATATCAAATATTTTTTTATTGTCTTATAAACTTTACAGTTTGTGACCAACATGTATTAACACAATAAACATATATACATACATATCAAACAAACACAATAAAAACAGCATCAAAATTTATAAAAACAAACAAGTTGTTAAGAGTCCCCTGCCCTCAGTTCTAATGACTTTTTCAAGAAGGATCCTAACTTATTTGTTTGTAAAGGCGTTGATGGATTTAGTAAATAATGAATAAAGCACATGTGTTACTCATGAAAAAATACTTTTTTCTACGTAAATTTAGATTTAATTTTTAAATCAGAATTGATGACTGTCTTTGATGAAAAGTAAATAAATAATGATAACACTTGTCAGGGAACTAATGTTTTAAAGATATTATTCTGAGCTTGTGATCACTGTCAGGTGTGAATTAAAACCACAGGTAAAAAGTGATTAGCGATCATTAGCCAATGTTTCCCGGAGGCATTGATATAGATATTAGGAGGGCCCTCAGGATTATCAAACTACTGTAGTGGCAGTTTTATTACAGGAAAGGGATTATAAACAAAAACAAGTGATCACAAGTGCAAAATGGCGATTAAGAAATCCGATTTCAAACATTGAGTCAATGAAATGACCGAAATTACTTCTGTAAAAAAATAAAATTTGTCCTAAATCCCAATTACTCGTTTCGGACAAATAGTTTCATCTTAGGACATGACTGGCAAATATGACCGTTTCCGGACCCTTGGTCTGATCTATATTTCATGATCATGCATCATTAACTTATACAGTACACACAAGATGATTCAGTTAAACATGGCTTTTGATGGTGACTTTTCATTGTGATTGCTGGTGATTGTGGATGATTATCCCGAAAATATCTATCTGTATATTACGTTGATCATGTGATGATATACAACTTTCAAAAATTAATTGATTGATCGATTGATTGATTGATTGATTGATTTTTGCTTGCTTAACATCAAGTAAAAAATTAAGTGTTGTCACCTGTGATCTTCTTAAATTGCATTTTTTCAAAGTAAATCACCTACATGTACACCAGCAAGAGGGATTTTTCATGTCATGATTTTATCATTCTATCTAAAATTATGTACAATTTATTTATACATTACAAATTGAATGAGACATGTTAGTATTTCTAAAAGTAAAAGTTTAATATTTTTTTAATAAAATCGTCATTGTCGATATAATTTTTTAGATTTTGTAACTCTGAAAATTTGAAAACCCATTGGTGGCCTTGGCCTGTTTTCTGCTCTTTGGTCAGGATGTTGTCCCTGTTTCAATTCTCAGTTTTATGCTATTGGTCATTTTGAAAGAGCTCATATCAGCCAAGTGGGCAAAGTTTACTGTCTGCGTCTGTTTTCAATGTGCATATATATACTGTGGATTCATTATCTTTCATTGGATACCAATTTGCTTTGGTTTCATGGGTACACGTAGACCAAGAATTTCGATGTTCAACGAATTACTAATTTTCTTTAAGTTTGTTTGCAGACATTGGTAAAACCACAAAATCAAATATCCACAAAAAGTTTTCCTAAAGCCACGAAAATTGGTACCCATGAAAATAAATGAATCCACAGTACCTGAGTACCATAATCTAGCTATTTCTTAATATTTGCAGAAAGATGTGTTTTTGTTGAAAGAACTAGAGAAGCAATGTCAGAAAGAGAAAGGTATAACATCCATGTCTGTCAAGGAGATAGTAACAAGTCTGGTAGATGATGGAATGGTCGACACAGATAAAATAGGAACATCTGTATACTTTTGGGCTTTTCCTAGTAAAGCTAGTCAGAATGTAAATATTAGCTTCATCATTGTTTGAATTTGTCTTTGTTGGGATCAAGACTAGAGTGTTGATTCAGAAATTTTTGTAATGTTTGTAATACATGTATTGCTTAAAAAATTTGATAGAATAAGTATTGTCACTTAAAATTTGTTAGCATTACATTTTTTGTAATTAAATGCAGCATTAACTGATATTTTTAGAAATCTGTGTAATAATGATTGATGAAAAGAGATGTGGGATAAATTTTAATGAGACAGCAAGCCAGCAATATCACAATTAAGTCTGCTGTTCAAAAAGGAAATTAAAATGTATGCAATAATTTTTGAACCAATGAAAATTGATGTTTAATTTCCACCTAGACATGATAAATCAGCCTTCCTAGAAAAAATTAATAAAATATCTTGAATGCCATAAAACATGATGATCTGCTACAAACAAAATTCATTATAGATTCGGTTTAATATGGCTTTCTTATAGGCAATTACATGGTTTCTTTTATTGAATTTTTTTACCACTCGTTAGCAGTGATATGATATCAATAACAGTGCAAAATTATACATTTATATTGCACATTAGTATATGCACTTTTCCTAGATGTTCAGAATTCAACTTATATCAAAGTAATCATTAATTTTCTAATGGTTATATATCAATATTTTCCTCTTTGAATTTTTACAGCGGAAAAGAAAATTGCTGGATTTAGAAAATAGAATTGAAGAACTGGACTCAAGAAAGAAATCACTAACAGAATCCATAGATAAAGCTAAAATGGGAAAAGAGGAATCTGTAAGTGGTCTTTTATGAGCTTTTGCTATCACTTGGCATTTGTTGTCTCTTGTTGCCCGTTGATTTTTGCATTTTTGCATTATCTTAAAAACTGTAATAGATAAATAGAAACTTTAAAAAGAAAAAAATTATCAGCAGGATAAGATCTACAAAAACGTCAACATGACTGAAACTGTCAGTTAGCTCTTAATAGAGTTATTCCCATTTAATGATGATTTAATTAAAAATGGCCATTGTTGAAGATGCAGGTGAGCGACACATCTAGTTTGTTTTTTCTTTTGTTGCCAGGTTAGTTACTTTTGAGGTTTTCAAGAATCACTATTTAACTAACCTGGCCTAACGTGACCTCGTCCGTCATCGTCTGTTTACTTTTACAAAAATCTTCTCCTCTGAAACTACTGGGCCAAATTTAACCAAACTTGGCCTCAATCATCTTTTGAGTATGTAGTTCAAAAACTGAGTCCGATGACCCTGCCTGTCAACCAAGATGGCCGACATGGCTAAAAATAGAACAATAGGGTAAAATGCTAGATTGCCTATTATTTTGAAAACAGCTAGAAATAGAGAAAATCTGACATGGTCAAAAATGTTGAGCTCTGCCTTTTGTTCATTTAAGTCAAAACTGTCAGACGACTTCTTACAGGAGTTATTGCCCTTAATTGATGAATTTTACTATTTTAAAAAATTTTTGCTTTTTATCTCAAATATTATAATAGATAGACAGAAACTATTAATAACAAAATTAATCAGCAAGACAAGCTCTACCAATGAGTCACATGGCCGAAATCATCAGTCGACTCCTTATTAGAGTTATTGCCCTATAATGATGATTTTTACCAATTTTTTGTGATTTTGCCTGATATCTTGAAAACTGTTATAGATAGATAGATAGAAACTTTTTATAGGAAATGATCAGCAAGACAAGATCCACAAATAAGCTATAATGGCCGAAATCATCAGTTGACTTGTTATTGGAGTTATTGCCTTTAATGATAATTATCAATTTTTTAATGGAAACTTTAAAAAGGAAAAACGATCAGCAGGATAAGATCTACAAATACATGAACATGACTGAAATTGTCAGTTAACTCAATAGATTTTCCCCTTTAAGGATGATTTTTTGTCTCGTCTTGACAGAGTCAAAAAGCGAGACATAGGTATGCTGTTTCCGGCATCAAAGGCGGCATCTACAATGTATTAGTTTGTGATTAGGTCTAGTTTATGGTGAACCACTAGTGGTAGGTCAATGATATTTGGTATGCAGTTGAATTACCATTGGCACATCTCATTACCATGGAGATTATTTGGCCCCGCCTCCTCAGTCATGGTTTATTGACTTTGAAACTTTGCTTAGTTTTCATGTATTAGTTTGTGATTAGGTCAGTTTATTGGGAACCACTAGTGATAGGTCAATGATATTTGGTATGCAGTTGTATAAGCATTGGCATATCTCATTTCCATGGAGATTATTTGGCAGCGCTCCTTCAGTCATGGTCTATTGACTTTGAAAACTTTGCTTAGTTTTCATGTATTAGTTTGTGATTAGATCAGTTTATGTGGAACCACTAGTGGTAGGTCAATGATATTTGGTATGCAGTTGTATAAGCATTGGCATATCTCATTTCCATGGAGATTATTTGGCCCCGCCCCTTTATTCATGGTCTATTGACTTTGAAAATTTTGCTTAGTTTTCATGTATTAGTTTGTGATTAGATCAGTTTATGGGGAACCACTAGTGGTAGGTCAATGATATTTGGTATGCAGTTGTATAAACATTGGCATATCTCATTTCCATGGAGATTATTTGGCCCCGCCCCTTCAGTCATGGTCTATTGACTTTGAAACTTTTGCTTAGTTTACAAGTTAATGTTTGTGTTTAGGTTTCTTTAAAGGGAACGACTTATGAAAAGTCAATGGTATTTGGTATGCAGTTGTATAAGCATTGGCACATCTCATTTCCATGGAGATTGTTTAGCCCTTTACCTTTAGTCATGGTTCATTGACTTTGAATATTTGTATAACTTACATGTTAAAGTATTGCTATTTTAATTTCAACATTTGCATTATCAAAATAACAAATAGGCGAGACATATCTCTGTGTTAACAGTTTATTCTGATACTATGAGGGTTTGGATGGGGTTTACAAAATAGAGAAAAGTTAAAAAAATAAAGAATAGAGAAAGATGGGCCAACAAATAATAGTGAGGTGCTGAAATGTAAAGAATAGAGAACAATTAACAAAAAATATAAAAAATAGAGAAAAAATGACCTAAATAATAAAAAAAAAACAGAAATGAAGAACATCTATACCTTTATACTATTAGCTGTTACATGTACCTTTTGATTTAGGTTTCTAGAACAGAGCTGTTAACAGCCTTATCAGAGAAAAGAACAGAACAATCTCAGTTTATGTCAGAAATAGAAAAATATAAAGAATGTGACCCAGAGGTGGTAGAGGGGGTCAGGAAACAAGCTGAGATATCAAAAGACGCTGCTAATAGATGGACAGGTATGAGAAAAGGGTTAAATAATTATTAAGGAAGATATTGGGATGGGGATTGTCTAAAAAATTATCAAAAATGTTAAAAGATGCTGCTGAATGTTGAAGGGATATTCAAATCGATGAGAGAAATTTCTACAGTACCTGTAAGGTTATGCACTTATAAATCACTGGTACTTGTGGTGAGTGATTCACTTTGAAACAGGATGATGGTAGTGAATTGAGGTGAAAGCACTCTGATTTATGACCCTGTCAGTTATTACCAAGGGAAGGCACACAAATATATACTGTAAATTCAGAAATTTTTGCTTGCATTTATTATAACATTTGTTGAATGATGGACAAATATGTAAGAATTTATCATTACGATTTTCAGGAAATGCTATATTGGAAAAAATTAAAACACAGGTTATAATTTTTCTAAACCTATCCTGTCACAATTTTCACAATAATAAAAAAATCTCCCTAATTTCTGAATTAACAGTAGTTCAATGTGCTTCACCAATGATCACCAATATTCACAGTGATATTTCACTACCAAGGTTGATTTTCAGCTGCATCACCTTGTGCACTATATTGAGAAATGGGCATTGGGGTTGTGAAGAAAACAGATAACATACAGAAACGTCATAAGATAAAATGGACAGGAACAATGTTAGGGAATGTGAGGGGCTGATTTAGGGTTTGGAAATGTTGAAGACAACTTTTATAAATAAAGAGTGGACATAGAGACAGGAAGGTATATATTTGCCATCCAGCAGATATATAGAAACAGCATATTAATATATAAAGTATAAAACTGAAATAGACAAACTTGGAGGGATGTGGATATATAAGCAACGATTGTCAAAGTCAAAATATACAGTCAATAGTTGGAACAGGTGCAAAAACAGTGAAATATATAAAGCAGGAATGCTCTGCAAACTTGTTAATTTTTTTAAGTACTAATTTTAACAGTACCTGCAAAAACAATAGTAACCCTCATTTTTAACCAGGTTCCAGTTATTGATTTTGCGTGGTACAGGCAAGTGTGCTATTTGCTCCATTTGTTTTTGTGCAATAACTTATTCACTGTTCAGTCCATGCTCGTAGAATTTTAATATGTCCTAACTGATGATAAAATGGACATCAATTTTGATGATTTTCACTGTTTCCATTTAGGAGTTATGGTCCTTCAATTGATTGAACACTGCCATTTTAAGTTTTTTTCGTGCAATAAGTTGAGTACTGTACAACCAATGCTTTTCAAATGTTGTTACTGATTACAAAATTGAGGTCAAGTTGGATATTGACGATTTTCCCTTTTGTCACTCAGGAGTTATTGCCTTTCATTGCTATAGCAATGACACTTATAAATATTATAAAAACCTTGTTTGCTGTTGTTTTGACATCTTCTTGTTCACAGATGAGATGTCTTAATGTATCATTATGTAACTCATGATCATGATTACAAGTTAACTCGGTGTGAATTATAAAACTTTTTGTTTATATTACTTTGGGGAGAGGGGGGGAGTGAGTTTACGAGTTTGCTCATGCAAGGGAGTTTGTAATTTTAATTATACATAAATTTTTTTTTCAGACAACATTTTTTCAGTTAAATCATGGATCAAGAACAAGTTTAGTTTTGAAGAAAGTGTGATAGACAAACAGTTTGGTATTCCAGCAGATTTTGACTATATTGAGTAAAGAAAGTGTTATTGACAAACACATTGGTATTCCATAAGATTTTGACTACTGGTATATTATGTGAAAGTAGAAAAACATTTGATGCTATGTTTATTCAGAAAATGGAGATGTGCACAGATGAATTTAGCCAATACCTGGATAAAATCATTAACAATAATAGAGTTTAACCTGTCTAAAGTTAACTAGATGTAAAGCAGAAATCTACATTCATGGAAACCTTTTATATGTGCACTGTCTATTAAAAGTAAATTAGCTAAACACCTACCTAGTCCAAACAAAAGACAGGTTCACTATTTTGATAGTATTTAACCTGATATGTTCTTCAGGTGGTCTTAACAATTTATCTGTTGGTCCCGCTGATTGCTTCCATTTTGCAGATTAAGTTGACCAGTCGAAATATTATAGCTGCAATAGCAATTTGTCTTTTCTGCCTTTGTTTGGTAGATTCCAATTTAACCAATACAATCAGGCCTGACCATTGCTGCCTTTTAATAGATGAAATATGGAAGGGGAAATAATAGAGTAAAAGTGGTTAAAAAGAGTTGGAGGGGATTATGTCAAGGACAAAGACACCAAACAACTAAAAAAATGAAGTCTACATGGTTTTTGAAATAGAATTGTCTTCACAATATTTTCACTCTCCAAACACCATTGCTGGTTAATTTCTTGTGCTTCTATATATTTTTACTAGACTCTACAGTCTTCATGCTTAGCCACAGGCCCAGCAGCCCAGGCTTGTAAATTGCTTTCAGGTCTGTAAAAATCATCTCTACAGGCCAACAGAATCTAACTAAAATTTTCCAAAAATTGATCTCCGGGCCTGTAGATTTAAAAGTTTATTGTGAAGACTACTAGACTGGTATATTTGTTTGAAATAGTCCTGTAGCTGGTCACTTTTTGAATTGTTGAGGTGAATGCCTTGCCTTCCATCTTCCAACTTCCTATTCAAATTGTAATTTTGATAAAACAATTCTATAGTAAACATTTTGAAATTGAGTTTTAGTTGAATTCTGTGCATTTGTTGCCATTACAATTTTGTTTTTTTAATTACAGAAAGTAAAAGAACAGCTTTTTAACTTTATTTGGAACGTTTAGAAATGACCACTAGAAAATGAATTTTAGACTGAAACAGTAATTTTGATCTACTTTCAATCAGAAAGGTGGGAAACTTTGAGCATGTTGAGTCTGAATAAGGTTTTAATGTCTTAAAAGATTTTCCCTGGATGTTATTTCAAGGCAATTTTAAGGCATTTATCATGCAGTGATTACAGATTTACAGTTTATTAACAATAACAGATTATTTCCAAGGGAGATAATGTTGATTTTTTTTAGTATGATTTAGTTTTTTCCACTTTTTTCCCTCTATATGAATTTCAGATTGAATCAATAATTTTAATCTAATTCATTAAAAAAACCTGACACATTTAATCTGTCATCAAAATTTAAAGTTATTTCATGGATTTGTGGTTAAGTGTGTACTAGTACATAAAAAAGATAACAACTAACTTTTCTGCTGACTTCTAAGACGTTTCTCCTGTATTCAATTCAGATCTTTTTATTTTTTAGGAAAAGTAGTTTGTAAATAATTAATAGCAATTGTCAGACCAGTGTAAAAATAGTTATTGGAAATCTTTTTCAAGTTTTTCACAAACAAAAGTAAATTAGACTACTCAAATTATTGCAATTGAAAGTTGCAATTCTAGTGGAAAAACAGAATTCTATGTAAATTGAAAAGTACATGTCCTTGATATTTAAATGAATGCAATATGTAGGTTAAGACTAAGGCTGCTGAAATGATGAGTGACAGTGTTCAATATATATATATACCATGTACCATTTTGATTTGTTTCAGTATCATATTTTATTTAATGCTTTAATCATTGTTTGTTGATTTTGTTAATGTTGTATTTATTAAATAGTCTAATACATTATAAGTTATTTCCACTTAAGTTTCACTTGAAAGATGTTTTCAACAAGCATAATTTAGAAACTAAATCGCATAAGCATTATATATTGAGCAGATAGGTTACCATGGTAGAGGAATTATCATCACTGGTGGGGATTTTATTGCCCAATTGTAATCCTCATTGGTGTTTTTTAATTTATATATAAAACAACAAGATGTGGTATGATTGCCTATGAGACAACTATCCACCAGAGACCAAATTATGTAAATGTGAGTAGCTATATTCATATGTCTTTGTAATTGAGTTTCTCGTTATCATATGACAATCTCACTTGACTGAAGTTGATCTAGAAAGGAGCTAAATATGCGATATTGAAAACTCCAGTGTGTTAAATGTTAGGAAATCATATTCATTTTTTAATGTTTGAGTCACAAATTGAAGAAGATGTCTTCAAGTGTCATAATGAAGATTTGCTGGATTTTTGCCCAATATTTAAATAGTTGCATCCACTACCGAATAAGCAGTAGCAGGTAAAAACCTAATGGAGCAAATCAAATAGCTTTATTATTCGTTTCTTTGTGCAAGAAAACAAATATTGTTTTAAAGCAAATAAGATCGAAAAATATCAGGTTTGCTATTCTCAGGCATTTTTCGGTTACCTTCATCATGGGTTCTCAAAGCGATATATAACATTATCTTTCTTTATACAAATAAGCTGCATGGTCAAGGAATACTTCCTAGATGTTTCTCTAACAAATTTACTTTTTCGGTTTTGGGATGGGAGTGAATTTGAATAAATTGGCGTAAATTGTTTTTGGGCATTAATAAAAATTAGTGGCAATGTTGATCTTTTCTCCAAGAACTTTTCCCTTTTGTTTTGTTGCAGCTGTTTCATGCAATTATTTTTTTATTATGTGAAGATGTGTCATTATGACATTAAATTCAAATTTCCTTCAAGGTCGTTTTTGGTGTTTCAAATAGGGCATTTATAGTGGCTTCTACAGACAAGATATAGCTGTTTACTCCCTTATCTCTTAAAGGAGAGGTATGAATGAGTTCAATTTAGCCATACATTTTGAAAAAAATAATGTTGGATCCGATGTATATTGTCACAGTTTTAAAATTATTTCATTTCCATGCAGCCAGTAAACTACAAAATTAAGTAAAAAGGTCAACTAACACAAAACTTCTTTGTTGCAGGACCTTTGCAAATAAATTCTCCATTTGAAATGTTTTCTAATCATTCACTCACCAGCAAAAAAATATTTTGGGCAAACATTGTGCTTTTTAACCTAAAATGTTTCTGTGATAACATTTTAACCTGCTACTGGTTATGTAGATGCAACTTTGTATATTTGTCGGAAGGTATAATACATGGTTATTTCATACATTGTATACAGATGCCTTATAGTCTGAAGTTTTCACATGTCAATTGTCCTTGTCTTCGAACTCAGTTTCATTGTGTGAATGCTAAAAATTGTCTTTTTTACCATGTTAGATTTTCATTCATGAGTAATTGGTATATGGGTTCTTCGCAAGGTCTTGTTTGAGCTTTTAATTTTGCCATTTGATAAGGGACTTTTCGTTTTGAATTTTCCTTGGAGTTCGGTATTTTTGTTATTTTACTTTTTGTTCACCAGACAGGGTTCACCTGACCTTGAACTCATTTCATGGACCAGTGACCTGCATAAAGTTTTCGTGGTCGAGTCCATATTTCAGATACCGTATTAACAATAGGTCAACAACATTTGGTACATTGGATGATATTAATGTCAACAGGTCAGGGTTAACCTAGCCTTTTCGACATTTTCATGATTTACCGTCTACACACTGCATTTCTTATATGCGAACTGCCGATTTGTAATTGCTTACTTAGAAATGTTCTGGACCATAGGAGTATTGGGACTATATGCATATGGTCATGACCATATGCGTGTAGACTCATATGGTATGACCATACCCGTATGGTCTGAGTATTAAATACGATGAACGTTGCTTTAGGTAAGACCCATCAAGGTGTCATAGATTAATAGTTTCTAAAATGAAATTGTGACTTATTTAATTAAATGGTACTCATTGTTACATGATTAATGAAATAAAGTGAATTTTCTCAAGCATTTTTACATGGTCACTAGCGATTTTTCCTTACGAAATCTAAATGAAACGTTAAACAAGAAGTCAAAGAGAGAGGCTTCAACTGTTTTACTCACGGGCACTTAGGGCATTGCGCTCTCTTTGTTCCCTTATTTTAGTATTTTGATTTGTTTTTGAAAAATTAAAATTTCTTTAATATTTCAATTTTTGTCGAGCCTGCGACTTCTGTTGCAGAAACTCGACATAGGGATAGTGATCCAGCGGCGACAGCGGCGTAAACAAGCTTCTTGAAAGCTTAATATTTCATAAGGTAGAAGACCTGGATCCTTCATACTATGTATATACATGCTTATGTTATGAAGTTTCCGTCTGTCATATGTCCATTGACCTTGACCTCATTTTCATGGTTCAGTGACTACTTGAAAAAAAAGTTAAGATTTTTAGTATTTTTAATTTCTCTCTTATTATGAGTAATAGGATAACTATATTTGGTATGTGCGTACCTTGCAAGGTCATCAAGCCTGTCAGACAGTTTTCATCTGACTTCGACCTCATTTCATGGATCAGTGAACAAGGTTAAGTTTTCGTGGTCAAGTCCATATCTCAGATACTATAAGTAATAGGTCTACTATATTTGGTGTATGGAAATATTGTAAGGTGTACATGTCCAACTGGCAGGTGTCATCTGACCTTGACCTCATTTTCATCGTTCAGTGCTTAAAGTTAGGTTTTTGTCGAGCCTGCGACTTTTGTCGCAGAAAGCTCGACATAGGGATAGTGATCCGGCGGCGGCGGCGGCGTTAGCTAACTTCTTAAAAGCTTTATATTTTAGAAGGTGGAAGACCTGGATGCTTCATACTTTGTATATGGATGCCTCATGTTACGAAGTTTCCGTCAGTCACATGTCAAAAGTCCTTGACCTCAACTGGCAGGTGTCATCTGACCTTGACCTCATTTTCATGGTTCAGTGGTTATAGTTAAGTTTTTGTGTTTTGGTCTGTTTTTCTTATACTGTATGCAATAGGTCTACTATATTTGGTGTATGGAATGATTGTAAGGTGTACATGTCTAGCTGGCAGGTGTCATTGACCTTGACCTCATTTTCATGGTTCAGTGGTCAAAGTTAAGATTTTGAGTTTTGGTCTTTTATTCTAATACTATATGCAATAGGTCAGCTATATTTGGTGTATGGAAATATTTTATGATCTATATGTCTGTCGCGCAGGTTTTATTTGACCTTGACCTCATTTTCATGGTTCAGTGGTTATAGTTAAGTTTTTGTGTCTTGGTCTGTTTTTCTTAAACTATAAGCAATAGGTCAACTATATTTGTTGTATGGAAGAATTGTTAGCTGTACATGCCTGCCTGGCATGGTTCATCTGACCTTGACCTCATTTTCATGGTTCATTGGTCAATGTTTAGTTTTCTTCGTTAATGTTAAGTTTATATGACAGTTGTAATAAAGCTTTATATTTAGGACTATCAACATAATATCAGTGATTAGTAAAGAAGGCGAGACATTTCAGCGTGTGCACTCTTCTTGTGTTTTGGTCTTTTTTTTCTAAGACTATATGCAATAGGTCAACTATATTTGTTGTATGGATATATTTTATGATGTACATGTCAGTCTGGCATGTTTTATTTGACTTTGACCTCATTTTCACGGTTCATTGCTTAGTTTTAAGTTTTTATGTTTTGGTCTGTTGTTCTTAAACTGTAAGCAATAGGTTAAACACATTTGGTGTATGGAATGATTGTAAGGTGTATATGTCTGTCTGGCAGAGATCATCTGACCTTGACCTCATTTTCATGGTTCATTGGTCAATGTTAAGTTTGTTTCTTAGATACTATTAGCAACATGTTAACTGTATTTAATGCATAGATTGATTGTAAGGTGTACATTTCTGTCTGGCATGGTTCATATGACCTTGACCTCATTTTCATGGTTCATTGGTCAATGTTAAGTTTTCCTTGTTAAGTTCGTTTCTAAGAAACTATAAGCTATAGGTCAACTATATTTGGTATATGGAATGATTGTAAGGTGTACATGTATTTCCGGTTTGGTTTATCTGACCTTGACCTTATTTTCTTCGATCAAGTTTATGTGATAATTGTAGCAAAGCTTTATATTTAGGACTATCAACATAAAATCTATGGTCAGTAAAGCAGGCGAGACATTTCAGCGTGTGCACTCTTGTTTCTCTTGTATATAAATGTGTTAATGCTCCTATTCATGCGATTTTACAGTCCCAGTTGTTTATACGTGCTAGAGGGGCAACAGGTCCTGAAAAACTACTGTTGTGAGATCTTATGAATAGGAACAAGAACACATCAATTAAGTGAAAATAAATAAAAAAATTAAAAAATTAAAAAATCCAAACACTATACCCGAAACACCGGTGGTTTCACAAAAAAGTCGACAGGATAAATTAAGGCGCTTTAAATTGACTCAGGGAATGCAAGATAACAGATCCACCAAGATTCAGACATGTCAAAGATAAAGGATTTCAGTAAGTAACTTGTGTCGATTTTGGTTCGGAGAACCTGCGAACGAATAAACAATTTATGCGAAAAAATACCTATATGGTCTAAGAACTCGTATCGTCCAGCCCGTAAATAACCAAACAAGTATATACTCATATGGTCCAATTACTCATATTGTCCGGAACATATACACAGTCCTTTTATTCGAAGAAAGACTATATTTATCAAGAAAACATTTATTTACAGAATCTTCCAATTAAGAAACTTGCACAATTCGTATACACTGTATCAAGGTTGAAAGGTCGCATACAACATTGGTTTCAAACGTCTGTTCTAGAATTTTTTGAATTACTTGTAATAAGAAAAAAATGTCAATGATTTCAGCGTATGAAATGTAGGTGGTAGTAAAACTAACCAAAATTCTCACCTCAACAAAAAGCTGA